AGGGGACAGCTAGGGGAAGAACTGGGGAACGTCCCAAGAACTGAGTTCTTTCCAATCCACATCTTCTGCTTCCTGACGTAGCTGCAAAACTGCCAGAGGAGCTGCAGTACCGCTGCCCGTCTCCTGCCTGTGTCAGAAAGAGCTGCACGTTAGCGGGCTGCAATTGCCATTAAAAAGCCAACTCCATAATTGCAGTCACAAAACCTCACCTTCAGTATCTGTTCCAGGCAGACGACCATGTCCTTGCACGGGAACCATTCCTACACAGCAAGGGAAGTCCTTCACTGCCTTAGGATGTGAATAACAGAGGAAAAGCCTCAAAGCCTTCAGAACATGCTATCTTGCCACCGACTTTGGAAACTAAACACACCTACTTCAAGAATTAGCAAGACAGATAAATGCACCTTGCTGCTGGAGAGGGCTGTGCTGCATCTCCTGCTGCCATCCTTGGGCTGTCATCGTGCTGCCCATCCGCAGCGCACTTGGAAGGGCAGTAACCTTGCAAGAAACAACAGGGAGCAGAGAGCTCTGCCTTGCATTTCCTGTTAGAACACAGAGATGAGCCGGACAGCCCTTGCTCTCAGAACACACACCTCTTCTCTTACCAGCTTTCCATTCCTGCACAACGCTGTTCAAACCCCTCTTCCATCTCTCCCTTCACAACACAGTGCGCAGCCTCTCCCCAGTGACGAGCTCTGGGCTGCTTAATGCCTGTGCCACCATCAGGACCTGCAGAACAAACCTTGGAGTTAAGAGGTTTGATCAGACAAGTGCTCTGTCTAGCAGAATTTGATTAGACAAGCGCTCTGTCTAGCAGAATTCACCATCTTCAACACTTCAAAGAAGTGACTTCTTGAAAGCCCTTGAATCTGTGTGACACATCTGGAGATGCTGAACTAAACCCACAGCCTTCTCAAAAATGGAAGGGCTCTTCAGAACCGGCTTGTCATGGTTTTGGTTTTTGCTTATTTGATTTTCAATATTCCACATCAAAACATCATGTACTGGAAGTGTTAATGCTCTAATTCTACGTACCTATCCCTATGCATTACGGAAGTCACAGGATCTGACCCTTCCGGGGGG